GATGGATGATGGATGGATGATGGATGATGGAGGGATTTTGGGATCGATGGGATATTTGGATCGATGGCATATTGGGATATATGGGATATTGGGATAGATGGGATGTTGGGATAGATGGGATTTTGGGATTGATGGGATATTGGGATTTATGGGATATTGGGATAGATGGGATACTAGGATTGATCGGATTTTGGGATAGATGGGATATTGGGATTGATGGGATTTTGGGATAGATGGGATACTGGGCTTGATGGGATACTGGGATTGATGGGATATTGGGATCGATGGGATATTGGGATTGATGGGATGTTGGGATAGATGGGATTTTGGGATAGATGGGATATTGGGATTGATGGGATACTGGGATTGATGGGATATTGGGATTGGTGGGATTTTGGGATTGGTGGGATTTTGGGAAGGCACAGGAGTGATTCTGGCAAAGGATGCAATTCCCAGCAGAGCTGTGACCTGGCAGCACCCATGGCCTGCTTGGACCAACCAGATCGTGTTGGGGGGTTGAGAATTCCCCAATTCCTGAATCCCTGACTGCTGTCCCCCTGTGTGTCCCCAGGGCCAGCTGAGCTACCCCCCACCCTACGGGCAGTGGGGGCAGTGGTACGGGGGTGCCCAGCTGGGCCAGTACGTGCCCAATGGCTGGCAGGTGCCAACCTACAGCGTCTATGGCCAGGCCTGGAACCAGCAGGGCTTCGGGTGAGTCCTGAGAGCTTTATCACTAATTTTCATCCCCTTTGGGAAGGGATTTTTGCACCTCAAAGCTGCAGCAAGGTGGGCATATCCCAGCAGGGTTTTGGATGAGTCCCTGAGAGCTTTATCCCAAATTTTACCCCTTTGGGAAGTGATTTTCACACCTCAGACCTGCAGCAGTGGGGTTGGGACATCCCAACAGGGCTTTGGATGAGTCCAGAGGATTTTTATCCCAATTTTTACCTCTTTTGGGAAATGATTTTTGCACCCCAGACCTGCAGCAAGGTGGGAACATCCCAGTAGGGTTTTGGGTGAGTCCAGAGGATTTTTATCCCAATTTTTACCTCTTTTGGGAAATGATTTTTGCACCCCAGACCTGCACCCCATTGGGGTGAGGACAACACCCCCTCAGCACCCCAAACCTCCCTGAAACCCCTTCCCCACCAAACCCCAGGGACAATTTACAAATCCCTAAAGGATTTTTTATTTTTTTTTTATCCCCTGTGAGGTTTAGGCAACCTCTGGGTGCCTCTTGGGCACCCACACTGTCAGGTTATGGGGTTTTTTTTAAAAAAAGCCAAGCAAGTTAATAGTTGCTATAAAGTTATTTATTGCAGAAGTTTCAAAGTTTCAAAGGCAAAAACAAAGCAAAGAAATGGCAAAATGCACATGGCATAAAAGCCATGGCATAGAGCACCAGCTCACTTTGATCCTTGTTATTTTATAGAAACTTTTTAACTAGCTGAGACACAAACTTAGACTGCTGCTTTTTAACCTTTTAGAACTTTAATTTTTTAGGCTACGTGTAGACTACCTACATGGCTTATTTTGTTTTAACTGAAAAATGTAGGCAATATTTTAAATTCTAGCTCTATTATGTTTGAAGGTAGATTTTTGGAGCCTTTAAGGAAACACTAGTATGGTTGAAAAATTAGAACATGTACTACTTCTTACTTACTGTCAGGAAAATGAATCCACAAACTCCAGAGTGTCCAAAAAGGAGCCAGAGGAGCCCTGGAGCTTTATTGGGATAAAGGCAGAGGCCATGGGACATTCCCCTGGGCTCTCTCACATTTTTGGAGGACTCCCCTCCCTTTTTATCCCAATTTCCCTCTCTCTTTCCCCATGGGCTGAGATCATTGAGAGGCCCAGACTTCCCAAACCCCTGATCCCTGAGATTCCCCTCTAATGTACAACCCTCCCTTTTAGTTTTTAATTCTTACAGAATTCATGGTTTTTCCCCATTGCTTCTTTCACCTTTCAATATCCAATTTCATTTCTCAGCAAACCTACAGTTTGTTTGTAAAGGCAAATCTCTTTTCCCATTTTTTCCCATTCATCAATCAGTGGAATCCATCCCATTATTTCTTTTCTCTCTCAGTGCTGGTTTTATCCCCCAGCAGACCCAGATCTCATTTGTAAAGACAAACCCAACATTCCTCTCACTTCTTTCACCTTTCAATATATATCTTTTTTTTCCCCATTCATCAATCAGTGGAACCCATCCCATTATTTCTTTTCTCTCTCAGTGCTGGTTTTATCCCCCAGCAGACCCAGATCTCATTTATAAAGACAAACCCAACATTCCTCTCATTACTAAAAACCCTTAAAAATTTATTTTACTTCCTCGCTCACTCCTCCACTTACCCATTCCATCCAGAGGCTCGAAATGCAAAGAATGGAATCCTTTCAGTGTGATTTCTGCCTCTTTTTTTTTTTATTTTTATTTTTATTAATTTCTTTTTCCCGTGTCTGCAGGCAGAGCCAGTCGTCGGCGCCGTGGCTGGGCCCGGCTTACAGCGTCCAGCAGGGCCAGAACGGCGCCGTGGTGCCCGCCCAGCCCGGCTTCCGTGTGGGCTTCGAGACCCCCTGACCCCTCCCCAATCACCGAGAGATTCCCCCTTTCCCTCCCCACAGCGTTGGCATTTTAACAAAATCCCTTTTTTCACCCTCAAAAA